CGATAGTCTAGGACCGGGTACAGTTCAGTTTTTGATCGTTCTGCGCATCTCAATGTTTCACCCTGTGTACTGAACCGTGTGGAGGGAGTTCGCTGTGACCTCTACCCAGGGGTCTCAGAATTTATCCCGCACGGCTCGCTTCCCCTCTTTTTCGCCCGTATTTCGATCCCCAGTACTATTCTCCTCATGCGCCTTCGCGAAGCGAACTTATCAAGTACCAGTCCCCACCATGGTCGCGTCGTTCCCACTTTTCGGCCGAGGGATAAATTCTGAGACCCCTGCCTCTACCACTTTCCAAGCTGCGCGAAACGGTCCTAGACTCTCGGGAATACGAGTATAGACAGGAGGTGTTGAAAAACAATCATGCAATTTAATTTACCCGCTCAGAGATTTCTGGCACAATTCCAACTGTTCCTGCAGATGCGGGAGAAGTTGCTTCAGCAAATCGTCCCCGACGCAGCAAGGCACTACGCCCGGAGTCTCGTGCGCCCTCTGCATGATCTTCTGCCAACTCTTGTCGATCTTACTGAACCTCTTCGCTTCTTTCGGCAACTGTTTCGCTATATCGCCCCCAACGAACACAGCCTCCAGGTAAACCCACATATTCTGCACCAGCAACCACCTTTCCAAAATTTCGTTGGTATTAGACAAGTCAGAGAGCCATTGCTGTATCTGTTTACGAAACGGTGCGTTGTATCTGTTCGACATCAGGGAACCAAGAACCATCAGGCTGTCTTCGAGCTGGCCAATCGTCTCGGCCGTAGTGTCTCCTCTCAGCAATAATTCGCCTCTGTTGTTGAACGTCATGAACGTCAGTTCGTGGGAGGACCATTCGTTCACTACGGTCCTTAATTTCGCTTCGATGTCTTTCTCCTTCATCGCTGATATGCAGATATCTTCGATGTCCTCTTTGTATTTCAATAGAGGCGCCTCGAGGATGTTCTTCAAGCAGAAACCCTCGCTTTCAAGGTCAAACGGGTAACCCGTCACGTCTATGATTCTGTGCCAATGACGAGGCTTCATAGCTTTGTTGGCCATCAATTCTAGCAACGGGCACATGTCGTTGAAGTCGTCGATGGTTTTCTTTAGGGCGAAGAACGCTGGCCATTCTTTCAGGCCCTTAGGCAGTTTCCGACACCGGTTTTGAAACTCCATTAATTCGTTGTTGATGTCCTCAATGTTCACCTAAATGGGATCATCTAATTTATACTCTATTTCCCGAGTGACTAGGAGCCTTAAGCGCAGCTTGAAAGGTGGTGGGGGCCGCAGCGAACGTGTCGGACCCAGGGTTGCCGTATGGAGCGATTATAATCGCACCTCCTCTGCTCCCGGAGACCCCCACTATCGTATTTTGTCCGCGGTTACGCTACTCTTACGCCACGAGGGAAGCCGGTAGGCGCATCAGGCGCATGTCCAAGAGTAGCGTGAGCGTGGACAAAATACGGTAGTGGGGGTCTCCGGGAGCAGAGGAGGCGCGATTATAATCGCTCCATACGGCAACCCTGGTCGGACCTCCCACCATGCGTTAATCGCCGCCTCACCGACCACGGTTCATTATACACGATAGGACAATAAGGACACGCTTGTATTGGGAAGTGGTAAATATGGGTGGGAGATGCGCA